ATTAAACTGAGTGTGCATATCAGTTACCTATTCTGAAATGGAGGTATATGTATGATATTGGACTCAAGTACACCAAGAAGGTACACATAAGTTACATGATAAAGTGGTTCCAATGCACATGGCCTCTATTTCTGTTATATTACCTTTTCTGTCCAGGTATCACCATGGTCTCATAAATTCTCTACAAGTTGACTGAAGAAGTCAAAACTTAGATCTAGTTAATATGCAGACACCACTTGAAAGTGGACAACTGTAGCACTTCAGTCCTTTTCTGGGACATCCCCGAAGACAGTAATTAAGAGAAATCCTTCTATTGGGCCGAACTTCGAGTAATGTACTTGTTCATTTTGCTTGAAAGGGGAAAGCCAGAAATAAAAAACTATAGTGATTTATGAGTATGGCCAATGACTGGGCTACACAGTCAAGGACTTGGAAAGAATGTCATTAGAAAATGGGTTACAGTGTTATCTGGGGAAGAGATGTGGACAGACCTGTCTGAATCACTAAAGGAGGTAAAACTATTTGTGTCCTATATGAATGCTCACCAAAGGATTTTTAATAATGAAGTAGATTATTTTAATAATGATGTGGCCATATATATATATATGGATATATATATGGATTATATATATATATATATGGAGATATATATATATGGAGGGGGGAGGAGAGAGAGAGAGGCACTTTGGCTAGGCAAGCCTGAAGTCTTTACAGTAGGCTGTCAGGAAGATAATGCTGGAAAAAGGCAGGAGCTAATACTAATACTGATGTAGTTCACAGGTGGGATTTCTTGTCCCTCAGGAAAACCTCAGTTCTGCTCTTAAGGTCTTATAACTAATTGGATCAGGCCCACCCACATTATCAAGAATAATTTCTTAAAGTTAACTAACTGTAGATTTTAATTACATCCACAAAATGTATTCACAGCAATATCTAGATTAGCTGTGATAACTAGGTTAGTTTTTGATTAATTGGGGACTATTGCCTAACCAAGTTGACACATATAACTGATCATCACACCTAGTTTAAATAAGAAAACATGATTCTTATAGAATTTTTGGACTAATAAAGAAAAGTGAATCCTGTGAAATTATCTTACGATTACTTCTATATTGTACCATAGCAATTTTACAATAGTGACAAAAAGAAACCGTATATTTAAACATTCCACACACTTTTATGCATAAAATGTCCACTAATTTTAAAAATTATATAGAAAAAAGTAAAGTGGACAAAAATTATAGGGCACATACCAGCATAAGCTTAAAATAAATTATACAGCAAATCCTATAATGTTCATTATGCCAAAAAATATTATTTTGTAATACAGCAAAATACATTTAGGAGGGATGACTTATTTTGAGTCCCTTACTAGTTAGTCTTACCAGTCTTTTTTCCCTTCTCCCTTGCTTC